GCCCAGCAGGCGAGGCTGCGGCGGCTGGGAGCGGCCACTGCACTCCAGTCTGGGTGACCAAGTGAGACTCCAACTCAAAAAAAAAAGAAAGGTTTGAGTGGAGGAGGGATGTTATCAATTTCTGTTTTAAATGGGCTATTCAGTCGTTAGGTGCAAAAGACCCTGGGGGTGGGGTAGGCATAGAATTAGAGAAAACTATAAGAGGACATGGGGTAATCTACCATGAGCGATGGTGATGAGTCTATCAGGGGACAGTAGTGAGAGAGTGGAGAAATGAAATGGTTGGATTTTGAATCTATTTGGAAGGTAGACCACCAATAATAGGTGGATCAAATATGAAAGAAACAGAGGAGATAGCTATTTATAATCCCAGATTCAAGCAGCTCATGTAGATTATTTTAACATCACATTTCTCATATTTTGATGCTTTTCAGATGTACAATTCCTTTCTATCCAAATGATGGAAAAAAAATATCAGCTAAAGCAAACAAAAGAAGTAATGAGTAAAAATAAACCCTGCAAACTGTGGCCCACTGGTCAGTCGTAGAGGAGGAAGTTGAAAATTAAACACAGAAAGGGGTAAAATTAATTTTAGAAATTAGAATTTAATTTTTTTTTTTAAGTTGCTGTAGTGGCTGAAAGTTCAATCCGAGAGACCACCAAGAGCCAATTCCGATGAAAGTTCAAGAGGGTCTTTATTTGCAAGCTCGAGCCTGGACCTCTGTCGACAACCGACACAGCAGAGTACATTCAGAGCCCTGATTTCCTTAAGCAGATGCCTTTTATACTTTTACACAAAGGGAGGAGGAGTTTGGGGGGCTTTCCAGTTTTGTTACCATTTAATTGGGTAGTTCCTCTGGTGGTCAGCTTAATCGTGGAGGATTGGCTAGCCTGACTCAGGCTGACCTTGGTCCACTAGCTAGGGAAGTTGCAGAGACATCTGGAAACTTAGGTGATTAACCCCTGGCACCTGACTGGATGTTGCTAAGGGGAAAGTGAGATAAGGGAAGGGGTTGAAGTTTGTAACTGGAGCTTTACAGTTTTTTCCCATAACTGAAACTTTAAACAGTTATAGGTTATGTTTTAAGACAGAAAATTAAAAATGGCTGTGCTATTGTCCACAAGCCGATTACATATTTACTGGGTTATAGCATGCTCTTAACCTAAGTCTATGGTATACTCTATTACTGTCCTCTCATTGCAATCTCACTCTGTCATGTAGGCTGGAGTGCAATGGTACAATCATGGCTCACCACAGCCTCCAACTCCTGGGCTCAGGTGATCCTTCCACTCAGCCTTCCAGGTAGTTGAAATTTTAAACATGCACCACCACACCATACTAATTTTTTGAATTTTTGTAGAGACAAGGTCTCGCTATGTTGCCCAGGTAGGTGTTGAACTTCCGGACTCAAGCGACTCTCCTCCCTTGGCCTCCCAAAGTACTGGGGTTATAGGCGTGAGCCACCGCACCCGATTCAAATTTAATCTTAATGACATGAATCTTGAACAGTTGTCTACCAAAGTCAAATGACTTCAATATCTGTATTACATAAGACAATAGAAACACTTGCAAGTGGATTGCCTGAAAACTTATCAGTGGCTATATATATAAGAAAATATGGAAATAAAAATTTACCTTTTCTCCTCAAGATGCAAAGAAAAAAAAAAAGAAAAATCCCCCACAATCCCTTGAGTTGAACATTTAACTGATTTTAGGACTTTGCTAAAATTCGTGTTTATATTTTTGCCTCTGACTTTAACAGCTCACTGCAGGGCAGTTGGTCACAAAGCATGGTGGCTGTTCCCCAACCTCTCTCCTACCTTCCACTCCCACTGCCCTAGCTGAGGCCCTCATTTGCCTTTGCCTGAGTGATTGAACTAGCAAGCTATTTTTTTCAGCCTGCCTTTAGTCTTCCTCTTCTTAAAAACCATCTCCAAGCCAGACATGGTAGCTCACTCCTATAATCCCAGCACTTTAGGAGGCTGAGGTGGGAGGGCTACTTGAGTGAGTGGTTCGAGACCAACCTAGGCAACTTGGTGAGACCTCGTCTCTACAATAAATAATTTTAAAAAAATTAGCCAAGCGTGGTGACACATACCTGTGGTTCCAGCTACTTGGAAGGGTGAGGCGGAAGGATCGCCTGAGTCTAGCAGGTCGAGGTTGTGGTGGCTGTGAGTGTGCTACTACACTCCAGCCTGGTCAGCAGAGTGAGACTCCTACTCAAAAAAAAAAAAATCTCCAAATTAGTCTTCCTTAAGTGCAGTTATGATCCTAGTGATTCACCTGCACAAAAGCTTCTAGTGACTCCTCATTGCTTTTCAAATAACTTCCCCACTTTTTGACTTGGTATTTAAAATATATATATTTATATATACATAAAAATAGAGATGGAGTCTAGCTATGCTGCCCAGGCTAATCTCGACTTTCTGGCCTCAAGCAATCCTCCCGCCTCATCCTCCCAAAATGTTGGGATTACGGCATAAGCCACTGTACCTGCCTTTGACATGGAGTTTGAGGCTCTTGGGCTTTCCTCAAAATGCTATTGCAGTTTTGTTGCTGGTTGTTGCTTTGTCATCAGCTCAAGAAATGGCCTGATAACTTCCCAAGGCTTTCTAACCTTTCCTGCTCTTGCACCATAGTTATAAAGTTTCTCTACTTGCAGAACCATTCTCCTCCTACTCCCACCCTAAGTCCACCTTGTAAATATCTGTCAAGACAGTAGCTTCAAATGTGGCTTCCTTCATGAGAGCTTCTCTAGTCCCCTTCGCCAGGGTAATACTTTCCTGTCCTGAACTCTCTATATTTTTGTAGTGCTTTGTTTTTTGAGGCTTTTTAAAAAAAGTTGTTAACATAATCTGTCTTGGACTATATACAGATTTTGTGAATCAGGTTTTTTTCTCTAATTATGAAATTCTTGAGATCAGAGTCAGTGCCCAATATCTTTTGTTTATCCACACCATTTATGACTGTGCCTAGAACATATTTGAAACTAAATAAGCATTTAATGGACAGATGGATGGGTGAGTGGGTGAGTATTGGGACTTCACAACCTCCACAAATTTCTTGCTCTACAAATATTTCTTCATGTGAATGAGAAAAATTCTTTTTGTCTAGTACCTTTCATGGCCTTGAGAAGAATGATTTTATTTGACTCTATAGAAATCCTGCATTAGTTTTTAACAAGCCAAGTTCCAGAGAAATAAACATAACTATCATAAGTAACATTGCAAGCTGTTTGTGTTTTGTTAAGAATATTATTTTTATGTTATAGCACTACTATAAACTAAGAAACTAATGACAACAAATAATAGACTAGAGAGCCAGCTATGTGAAGAAAAGCATCATGGAATTCAGGCTCTGGGCTGAGACGCTCCCTGAAATTCCCATAAAGTTGCCATGAGTGATTTATCCTCATCTCAGGATCTAAGGGTTACTAGTGCCAATTGCAATGCAAATAATCCCACAAAATGTCCTCAGAACCTCAAGAAGAACTATTTTGTTTAATTGGAGATTAATGATTTTATGCAATTTCATTCATTTCAGAACATTTAGTAGTTATTTTACTTTTACTATTGTTTTGTATTGTATTGTATTGTACTGTATTGTATTGTATTGTACTGTATTTGCAATGAGGTCTCACTATATAGTCCCCTCTCTAGAAAACTAGAATTTTATTTAGTGAATTGCAGATCTTGGATGTGTTGGTTATTAAAGGTATGATGAGTCAATGTAACCAGTTTCCAAGGTACTTGAAATAATAATATATTATTATTATTGAGAAGGTACATGTGATCAGTTTGTATCTTAACTAGGTACTTTAATGTCATATTGCTTAAAAGTGGATTTATTGATTATAGGACAATCCATGTCTAGCATGCAGCCAATTGGGCTCAATTGGGTAGATATTGGCTTTTCCTGTTAAAACTCAGAACTCGAACTTACAAAATTCTTGGGGCCATATTGATTTGTACCCACATTAACTATTCTTAGTTGCAATGACCCTGAGGGTTTTTGAGAGGATCCAAGTTGGTTCTTTGCTTCCTCTCTCTAACAGTCTTCTTACTACTTCCTTGGAGTTTTGCATAAGTAAAATTGACAGACATGTCCCCATAGGATGATGTGATAAAACTGAACCATAAAACACCTTCTGTGTCTTATCCTCATTAGAGATATAAGGTGAGCTGTAGAGTGTTGTAGTCTAGATTTTGGGATTTTATTGACTAGTAAAATTAAAAATGGAGGAAGAACACAGAGTTGCTGAATCTTTATTTTGCTATGTAGGGCATGAAAACAAACCAGAAAGACAAAAGTTCACAAGCACTGTTACCATTTTTTGAAAGAAGGAATATATTTAAACATCCAAATGTAACAAGGATAACAATCTCAGGATAAATGAAGTCCTTTCCGAGAACCTCCTTGTTGGTGATATTGCATTGGTGGTTTTTCTATGTGCTGCTGAGACGTTGCCAAGGCTTGTCATGTACTGAGGAGTATGTGAGCGATGTCCAAGGGCTTAAATACGTCTACTTTGCCCACATAACTGATCTCTACTCGGGTCACATTATGTCTGGCTCCAGCTTTCTCTGTCTTTCTCTTAATCACCTTTCTCAACAGCTTTTGCTCTATCAATGTGAATTCGATGATAGACTGCAAATTATTTTTTTGTTCAAGGTGTACTTCAGTATTCTAAAGGATTCTCCAAAGACGCCTCTTAAGTTTCTGGAGAACACTGAAAAATAGAGTAAATAGTGATACAAAGATTTTTCAGATCTTAGAACAGCAAATTCAACATTATACAAATCAGTTTTTGAGAATGGCATCTCAATGGCCATCAAACAGAAATAACTATCATACCTTTACCTTTTGACTCTTTTAGTATTGGTCATTTTCTGAAATAGCACGAGGACACCTTTACTGAAAATGAAAAGTAGTGAATGACAGTTTAATCATGGTTTCTTTTATCCTTTTTTTGGTTATTTGTGAAAAATAGGTTGCACAGCAGGCATCTTCATCCTCACCCCAACTGAGTGGAACATCGTGTTCTTTCTCTTCCCGGGAAAATACAATAAAGACACCCAGCAGATCTTCTTCCTCCTTACCTAAAGAAAGACAGTCCTGGCTCGAGATAGTTAACAGTTCGTCTGCTGCTGAAGATGTGGGACAATCTATAACATTTACTGTGCAGGTTCATTCCTCTGCACCCTCTGAGGCAAACAGTTGCAAAGCCCTGGAAAACAGCTTTGGCACATCCGAAAGTGGATTTTTGAACTCTTTATCTAGTGATGACACTTCTTCGTTGAGTAGCAACCACGATCATCTTACTGTCCCCGATAAACCTACTGGATCAAAGACAATGGACAGAGGTAAACTAAGAAATTGCTCCTTCTTCTTTAGAGAGTGAATATTTGTGTGTTTATGGAACTCTGATGTTAATTTGTAACAAAAATGGTTAAACTTCTAAATGGTGATTCAATAACTAGGCAGTCAAATGGGGCTAAGCCCAGGGGCTGCTCTGTAGAGGAATTTGCACGTGGACAGTTCCAGTTACCAGGTCACTGGCTACCTGCTCTGTCACTGACCAAATGCTTTAGAACTATGAGACGTGATCATAAAATAATGATACTTTCTCACCAATCTGAGAAAAAGCTGAAAGCTTGTCTCTATTTTTGGTCACCTGTCCCATGCTCTGGAGCTTGTGATGGTTAAATCAGGATTATGTAGTCTGGTACTCATCACATTACCTTGATAGTTCAAAATGAGCTCAGAGCAGCCACCTTCCCTGGGCCATGCACCAACAATGTCTGCTTTTTAGTCAGCTGGTTCCTGAAGCGACTTGTGTGGTTAATAGACAGGTAATTTGCATGCACTTCGGAGGGCAACAATACAACTTTTAAATACAAGGGAGATCACAGTTTAAGTCTTAAAGGAAAGAGTTAATGTATGTAGAAATTAGTATTGTAAATTTTTAAAACTCTGGGATAATTGGTCATTATCTTTTATTCAGGGCTAACTTCTTTTTATTACTATTCAATCATGATGTATCTTTTCTGATTGTCTGTGTCTTATTGACTCTTCTGTAAAACAGGCTTACCTGACATGACACTGAGCAATGAGAGACTAATGAATTTGACTTGTGTGTGTATATATGCACAGGGGTCAAAAAATGTATACACATTTTAAGAAAGGAAAAAACTGCATTAAAATTGTAATACTCAGTAGGTACTAATAACAAAAGATGAGTACGAGTCACTTTTGACTTCTGCAACTACACATTGCTACTGTAACTCAATTCAACTTTGAAAAGTAATACATGGATAACATTTCTTCAACTGGGTATACATTTTTTGACACCCCCAGAGAGTGTGTGTGTGTGTGTGTGTGTGTGTGTGTGTGTGTGTGTGTGTGTGATTTCTTTTTGAGACAAGGTCTTACTCTACGGCCCAGGCTTTAGTACAGTAGCACATCATGGCTCACCTCAGCCTCAACCTCTTGGACTCAGACAATCTTTCTGCCTCAGTCTCCCAAGTAGCTGGGGCTACAGGCATGAGCCATGAGCCACCATGCCAGGCTAATTTTTGAATTTTCTTTTTTTTTGAATTGAAGTCTGACTTTGTTGCCCAGGCTGGAGTGCAGTGGCACACTCACAGCCACCCCAGCGTTGACCTACTGTCAGGCAATCTTTCCGCCTGAGCCTTCCAAGTAGCTGGAACTATAGGCATGCGCTACCATGCCCAGTTAATTTCTTATTTATTGTAGAGATGAGGTCTCGCCAAGTTGCCTGGGCTGGTCCAAACCCATGGGCTTGGGCAATCCACTCACCTTGGTCTAACAAAGTGCTAGGATTTCAGGCTGAGTCACCAAGCCTTGCCAATTTTTGTATTTTTTTTAGAGATGCTGCCCAGGCTAGTCTCGAACTCCTAGGCTCAAGCAATTCTCCTGCCTTGGCCTCCCAAATTGTTGGGATTACAGGAATGAGCCACCATGCTTGACTTGGTTTGTATATTTTTAATGTACTATTGAGAGAATGTTGACTTACTGAATTCCCGTAATAATTAGCCAGAGTTGCCTAATGACATAGATGATTTCTCTTCCCTCTTCTAGCCTCATCAGGAAATGTTTCTTTAAGTTTTCAAATTTTCGATGTACTCTATTAATTTAATGTTTGGTATCAGAGTAATTTGGCCAAGGGTCACAGCTATAGAACAAGGTGTGTGTGTGTGTGTGTGTGTGTGTGTGTGTAGTATTTTAAAATATGTAAATTTGAATGCTCAGTCAGATAACTAATTCTTTCCAAGTCACCACTTACTTGAAGATGCTTTACAGGGTTGAGTTACCTGCCTGGCCTCTGATAGCATTTTTCCTTGATCTCCTCCCTCATCCTGCCTTGGACCAACTGTCTATTTTACTCAGAAAAACTTGAATGAGTGAAGAAGTCAGTGGCAAACCAACCTGCTTCTAGAGATGCTGCCATGTTGACAAAGTATTGGGCTTAATTGTTTCTTCTTAAATGTACAAAATTGAGGCTAATAGTGCAAGCCAAAAGGAGATAGTTTTAAGTTCAGCATAAGAAAATTGTTTTTGACATTGTGAGCTATTCAAAATAGAATGGGCTCCTTGGAAAGTAATTCATTTCTTCTCATTGAAGTTGTTACTTATTCTGAGACAAACATTTTTCATTGAATATTGATTGTGCGTTGCATATTGGTCACAATTTTTATTCTTTTTTTTTTTTTTTGAGTTGGAGTCTCACTCTGTTGCTCAGACTGGAGTGCAGTGG